TCCAGGCACAAATTTGTTGTTCGTGGGAGGGGAGTTTAAAAACAGGGGGGTATGCTCAAAAACAAACGAGAGCAGGGAGAGGGCATCCCAAAGACCCCAGCTAATCAGACCAGGTGGCAAAGCAAGGACCTTCTCAGAGGTCTGATCAGAAAATGTCCGGCTTTAAAGGTAAACTCAGGCAGTTTCCCACCAGTACTTTTGATTGGCTCCTCTTGACACAGGGGAGGAGAGAAGGCAGGGAAAGGCTGCAGGTAAGCATAGGCATGCCTGGGCATGTTCTGAGCCACAGGTAGGACTCATATGCTTAATTAGTTGGCCACTTCAGGTCTTGCATTTCTGGGCAGCGCCCCCCACACCGAGCCCGGGTCTGAACAAAGGAACCAAACAAAGAAGCAAGAAGCCCCCTCCCTAGGCAGAGCAATGGCTCCAGTTAGTCTGTACAAGCCATTCCTATGAATAGGGCTGTGACTTTAGTTAGCACAATGGCTGGGAGGGGTGGCCACACAGGACAAACAGAGGAGAGGGGAAAAAGGAATGCAGCAGGGGGACAGCTATAACAGACAGACCCAACTGGAAACACACCCATTCAGTGACGATTACCCATTCACAATTACATTTTGAGACCTATCAGTTAGTCAGTTTTTAATCCATTTACCATGTGCCATGTTAATTTTATATTGTTCTAGTTCTTTAACTGAGATGTCATGTGGTACCAAGTCAAACACCTTATAGAAGTCTCTAATGTCAACACTATTACCTTTATCAACCAAACTTGTAATCTCACCAAAAAAAAATATTAAGCTAGTTCGACAGGATCTATTTTCCATAAACCGATGTTGATTTGCATTAATTACATTACCCTTCTTTAATACTTTATCAATCAAGTCCTGTATCAGCCACTCCATTATCTTGCCCAGAATTGATGTCAGGCTGACAGGGTTATAGTTACCTGGGTCATCCTGTTTTCCCTTTCTAAAAAAATGGCACTACATTAGCTTTCTTCCAGTCTTCTGAGACTGCTTAAGTGCTTCAAGACTTATTGAAAAAAAAAATCAATATTAATGGTCCTGTGAGCGCCTCAGCCAGCTCTTTTAAAACTCTTGGATTAAAGTTATCTGGACCTGCTGGTTTTAAAATGTCTAACTTTAATAGCTTCTGTTTAACATCCTCCAGAGATATGAGTGGAATGGAAAGAGTGTTATCACCACCATTTAATTAGACTATATCATCTGTTTTTTCCCAAATACAGAACAGAAATGTATATTGAACACATCTGCCTTTTCTGCATCATTACTGATAACTCTGCCATTTCCATCTAATAATGGACCAATACCATTGTCAGCATTCTTTTTGTTCCTAATCTATTTTTAAAAATCCTTCTTATTGTCCTTAACTCTGCTGGCCATAGATTCCTCCTTGTTTCCCTTTGATTCATTTATAAATTTTCTATAGTTCATAACTTCTAATTTCTATGAACTTTCCCTTTCTTCCATTTGTTTATATACACACACACACACATTATATATATTTAATTTGTATAGCTGCCTTCTTCCCTCTAAACCAGTTCAGTTTTTTAACCACCATGGCCTTCTTCTTCAGTTGGGTCTGACTTCATTGAGTTAACTCTGCATTGATCACCCAGGTCTGAGCACCTGGGTTAGCCCAGCCCAGGCGTGAGCAGACACACCACAAAGCCACACTAGAGTTACTATGTTCTCACTGGTGCTGTACGTACCCACCTACATCACTAGGAATAATAGGGACATATCCAGGGCCGGCACCAGCGAAGGAAGCAGGTGCCAGGGGCAGCCAATAGAAAGGGGCGGCACGTCTGGGTCTGCGGCGACAATTCGGCGGCAGCTCAATCGCTCCTCTTCAGTCTTTGGTGGCGGGTCCTTCAATCGGTTTTTTTTTTTCCTTCACCGCTTGGGGCAGCAAAAAAGCTGGAACTGGCCTTGGGCATATCCCATGATACTTTGTGCTGCAGTAAGCTGAGCTTCTAAAATTCTTTCCCAGTGAATTGTTGGTGAACTTGTCAGTTCTTCTGGGCATCCAGGGGGAACTGTAGGAAGGCCTTGGAGGACTATCAGCACTTGAGTGATTTAGCCTATGTCCTCACTACAAAATGGCAGGTTACTTCCCTGAGTGAAAGCCTCACTCAAGTTGTAGCCTACAGCCCCAGACGAGCCAATTAGCCTGGGGTTGAAAGTGCCACTAAACTCAGGTGAGAGGGATTTATGTGCATACAAGAAAGGAGCTGGGGCAATGCCTGAATCAGAGTCCAAGTTAATTTGCAGTGAAGATATACCCACAGACATACTTTGAAAGAGCTATAAGTTTAGGAAAGCTGTGTCACAACTCTTCATCGCTCCAAAACTCCAATTGTCATGTCTTTGATGTAACATGCAGATGCACAGAACTTGAAAGTTGCA